TTATGACTGATACCGATGCCAGATTTTGAACCCATCCATAATCTTGATATGCTTGATTGATAGATATTGTGACATTATCATCGATCTGGAATGACACTTTGACAAAAAATAGGTTGCATTGACCTTGTATAATTATAAAGATCGTTGAGCCTACGTTCCTGGTTTTAGTGCGACAGCGTCGCACAGCTACCTTATTATGTAGATCTTTTTTTACCTTCATAAAATTCACTAATTTTTTTTAATTCTATGTCTAAAGCCTCGAAAAATGCTATTTCATCAGGTTCTAATTGACTTTTAATCGTATCAATCGATATTATAGGAAGTCTTTGACCTAAAATAATTTGATATGTATATATATATATATATGTCTTAATAAGAAATCTAAAATGACTTGAAATATTTGCAGAGATTTACATGATTTGTTTCTCATTCGAGAAGGTATTCTTGTGTGCATAGAATGAGTCCGTCTAAAAGAATTTATTTTGATCTTCAGTGGAGTAAGTGGGGGCTTTACAGGGTCAGAAAGACTAGGTTTGATGATTTCAAGATTTGGATTCTCATTAATCTCGTCTTTCTCTTTAATGGGTGAGAAAGGAAAAGTTTGAAGACTATCAGGATGTTCATAAGTAATTGGTGACTCATAAATACTATTTATGGTTCCATAAAAAGTGGTAGGTGATTCTGGTTCTATATATTGAGCTTGCTGAACTTTTTCTAACTTTGCCTTTAGACCTTTATAGTCGATATATCTAATTTAAATCACAATCAAAATTGGGTATTTTAGATAATTATTAACTATAAGCAGTTATAAATATACTTAATTACTTTTTCCTCCACTCGGGCACTGATTCAGTTTGAAGCAGTTTACCAAATTTCATCGTGTTCAAATTTTAATTTTTCTTGAAGATTTTTCTACTTTAGAAATTTTAACCGATTTAAATATATATAAAAAAAAAAAATTAGGATAATAGTTATACAAAAAAATAGGTTTTATTTACATTCTAAGTTTGTGAATTTTACCGAGGTGCAGAAATGCTAAAGAATTATCGAGTAATATTTTTAATTAGCTATAATGCCATTTTA